CCTACACGACGCTCTTCCGATCTACAAACACACACACACAAACACACAAACACACACACAAACACACACACAAACACACACACAAACACACACACACGGCCTCCTCGATCGATCGAGTGACCAGTGGCACGATCAGTCGCGCGACCGGTTGCGGACCCATCTCACGAGCGACTGGCGACCAGTCGCGCGACTGGTCGTGGACTATGAATGATGCCGTGCGCAACTCGCCACTACCACCTCACCTATCCCCTATAGTAGGTTTTATTATCTAAACGTATTATATTATTATGTTATTGTTTAAGAAACGCCTATTACCTTATTGTTACATTTTTTGATATTAATGCATGGCCTTGGGCGGAGGTGGTGTAGTGGCAAGTGGCGCACTATATCACACGCACGGTTAGGGGATCGAATCCCGGATCGATGCCCGCCTTGGCCAACCAAGCCTTCCATCCCTCCGGGGTCGGTGAATTGGTACCAGACTTGTCTAGGAGGATAAAAGCACTGACTTGTACGTCGGCTGGCCACCGCAAGTCATTGTATTGGCCACATACGCACTCATTACGCCACTACGATTCTGAATGAAAGTCGAGTGCGGGGGCGCATCTCTCAGACGGGATTGATTAACGCCAAAAACTTTATCCTTTATTATCCTTCCAATGCATGGCCTTTACGATTATGTAGTTGAGACGTTCGCTATAATCGATTCTTAGACGCTACTTGGTCGTTTTGGCAACTTATTTTCAAACCTCGATTTGTGGTAGTTTAAGCTTCATCCTGATCGCAGAGCGAGATCGCAAGACAGGCGTGTGGGATGGAAACGAGGTTCTAACACAGAGTCATTTATGAAAGTGAGTTCTCACAGCAGTTATTGCCTTTTCATTATATCCATACCGCAGCCGACATAGTCCGCGATGTGCTCTGAACGGTCAGCTGTCGCCGTTGCTGCGACCCACAGGCTAAGGGCGTGATGGTCGATACTGTACTTTTGTTGCTACATGACAGGTTTAAACATGCTTGGTTGTTTGTCTGTCGTTTTCTTTTATTACGTAGTATTGCTATCTCAAGTTGCTTAGTGAGACATCCTTTATTGGTCATCTGGAGGGTTTGTTTAGATGCTGTGTGGGTTGGAGTATAGTTAGGTGAACCATGGGTCTGCTCTCGTATACGCACCTAAACAGTAGTGGAGGCTCACGCTAAACGCCCTTCAATCGAGAGCGTGGCGGAACGTCGAATGCCGAGTTTCCGAAGCTCATCGCTCTTTGCACTTAGCGGACTATGAAGGTTGCCTGGCCATTTTCTGAGTGCAACCTGCGCCGTAAGCCAGGCCCGGTGCTCATTATGTTGTATTTTTCCCTTTCCAGAAGGGAAAACTCGTGATTCTCCCTTCACTTTTTTCGCGATGACAAAACACGGAAAAATCATAATTATTTCTTGCTTCAACGAGGCTGTGGCTAGCCTGGTAGGCTGGTGCGGCATTACGTGGTGGGCTTGGAAGAGAGCCTGCCAAACACTGCATTGGAGCTTCGCTGAGGAGTTACCTCAGTTGTATGTTAACACGCACTGGCGTCTGAGCACTCGTTTTTTGAAATAATTTCGAAAGAACGAGTATAACTTCTTCGCAGTACTGCATTTTCTGCAGTTTTTTTTTCGATTTTTTCACGTCTTTGGACCTGGTACCTGCTGACTTTCATTTGTCACTCGCCTTCTGTTTCCTTTAGTCTTTGTTCCGACCACAGCTTCTTTGAGCCTTAGCCTTTTCCCGTCAATTAATTTCGCCTTTGCTAGCTTGAGCCATAAAAGATTTCTTTCTAATAACGGAAACGCATCTTTATTCAGGTCAAGGAGGCATATGACTGTTTGAGGAAACCGACCACCAGAGCGAACTACGACGATAGTTTAATTAGTAGTGCCGGCTTTCTTCAAGAGGTACAAGCAAAAATCCTTGCATGGTATCAATAGTTTTTGAACATTTAAAGATTAAAAGAAATTAAACAATTGCTAATGAGTCGCCTAGGAGATTATAAGAAATGTGTACTTCTAGCCTGGTGACTTATTTAATTTAAGTGAGTCTGTCTCAGCGCTGGCGCCTATTTTTGGTTTCGAAAAATTAACCGATTTACAGGCAGATCATCTGAACTTCAAACAAGGTACTATTATTGACAACAGTACAGACAGCAGTAGAGCATACAGTAAACAACGTGTTTTTGTTTCGCCAGTGAGTAACCATTTCAGGTATATGACTCTTACATATGTATTTTCCACGAGTTCACATGCTATATTTTGCTTCAGAGACCTTGAACAGGAGTACTACAGGGAAAAGCACAAAAACAGAATGATCGTTTTTACGGCAGGACTGACGCTAGTCTTGATTCTAGTCAATATTGGATACATAAGGTAAAGTAAATCAACTATCAAGAAGAATCGTTCAAAATTTCGTATGAATTCTCAAAGGAAAAGGTGTCGGCGTATAACGGGTTTAAAAAACCATTAGCCTAGTGGTTAGCTCCTTCATTGAGGACACATTTTAAGTAAAACTCATTAAGAGTGAAGAGCGCTAATCCCACAAATAGAAACAACTACCTTCCAGCATCGCGTCTATCCCTTTCGTTTCGCGATGTTCATGAAAAAAATGTTAAAAGTTCTACCACTCTGTGTGATTTACATATCATGAACACAGTACTGATTTCAATGTGGCAACTAATGGTCTGTTATCTGCACCAGCGCCCCAGAGGCTGCTTTCAGACTTCGAGGACTCTACCTGCGTGCCGGCACGCACGCCTGAAATCTGCACCTTTCAACATCGGTTATACAAAAGTTCATTTTTAGCTATTTCTATTGTTTTTGATTACGTAGAAGGGGCCCTACAGATTTTGAGTTGATGAGTTTTTTTGAATGTAGTGAAATTCCTTTCTGTGGTGAACTTTTCTCATTTTGTTCTTGCAGCTATATGCGGTACAATCAGCGTGCTCAATTCTCTGGAAATCTCGCGCCAAGCAAGGATCTCTGACAATAGCAAATTGGGACTCTTACATTATTGGATGTTTCCAAGGGAATCTCAGTTATAAGCTTTTGAGAGCAACCACTTAGCCATTCAGTATTTCAATCTAGATGTCTGCTCGAATAGTAAATATGATGATATTCGAAAAACATGAGAACTGTAAACGTTGCTTTTAATTTTTTCCGCGAATATTTTTCAATTTTTCCTCGTGAAGGTCACAAGGAGGGTAGATGAACCTGAGCGCAATCGCACATCCGCTACGAAAGCTTTTGGCGTTCACGCTAGAGGCACCAGCTATACTCAAACTAGAACATCAAACTTGCTGAAAACTTATCCCAGATTCGTTTGATCAACTGGGCATGAACACCGGTTACAGAAGCTAGGCAAGACTGAAGCGAGTATTCAGAACCACTCCAAAGAAAAGAACTTGAAAATATAATTGTTGGAATCAAATATGAATTAATAAAAAGATTAGAAAGCAACCTCAGGCAAAAGTAAGGCACCTCTATTACCACAGTAGGTCGGTTTTGTGATTTTGGTTAGAAATGTACTGGTATCGTTATGTTCTTCAAGGAAAAAGGCTTGAAATCATCCGAATGCTTTCACAGAAAGTGGCTGTTTGCGTAGATCAAATGTATTACGTTCAAAGTGAAGACTTTTCCAATTAATTTGACTCGTTGTGTGATTCACTGGTACTAGTTCTGTGGAATTATTCGGGTTTGATAATTTCAGTCGATTCCACTCTAGGGAATTGTGTACATTTTTTAGTAATATTCTCTAAGTTTTCTATTATTGGGCTTGGCCCTACAACTTTATTTCTGGAAGTTTTTGTGAGTTTCCGTTCTGGTGATTGTTAACTCTTAATGATCATTAAGTTTGGGAAACGTTTCTATAAGGTAATAAAGTTCTTATAATGTTATGTTTTCTCTGATCGTCGGCTTTCCTTGGAATACCTAAGAAGATATTTCATTGCTACCTACCTACCCATTGGTGCGCTTAGTGGCTGCTTTCAGAGTTCACCGGTGAACTCTGAAAGCAGCCAGTTGCGGCAAAGTTTATATGTATAACTATTACTTGGGCTGTGCACGCTGACGCGTGCAACGAATAACGAAGTGATCCGTATTGGTTAGTGAGAGCAATATAGACATTATCGGTAAACTCTCTAATTTGATATTTTTATTTATTAGCAAATTATTTGTGCAGAAGGAAACGCGCCGCGTGGTGAGCATTTAAGAGTATTGGGGGAGTAGTGAAGAAGACAAAGAACATCCGGCTCCGCGCTCACCTTTTCGACACTGCTTTTCTTCCTGCTTTGACGTACGCCTCAGAGAATTGGACTCTACGAAAGCAGGATGAGCATGGTGCCAGCGTTGCTCAACGCGCTCTGGAAAGGACGATGCTCGGAATTTCCCTGTACACGCAAGTGCAGAAGGGATTCCGGAGTTCTGAGCTCCGTCAACGAAGGAATTCAGGGATGCCGTTGACTACGCCAAGAAATTGAAGATCAGGTGGGCCGGACACGTTATGCGATATAGTGTTGACCGTTGCACCAGGGCTGTTACTGACTGGATCTCTCGAGACATCAAACGAACTCTAGGAAGGCCGCCAACGAGATGGTCAGACTTCTTTACGAAAGCTCTGAATGAAAGGAATGTTGAACCTCAAGTCCTGCAGCGAGGACGATTCACTGGACCACTCTGGCTCGTGATAGGGACGAATGGAGACTTTACTGGCGCCCGCTCGAGGAAGACGATGATCAACGGGACGACAGGTGATACAGGTGATGTAGAGAGATAGAATTTATATATATATATATATATATATATATATATATAAGGCAGCCAAAAAAGTTTGGGCGGTTTTTTCTAATTGATTATCTCTATGCAATGTATTCAAAAGTTGATTGTGGTAGGAGGGTAACATTGCATATGCTTTGAAGCTTGTTTTGTGCAGAATCATTCAGTGTGTCTCATAAGTTTAAGTAGTTATTCAGATCCACCAGACGCCCCGTATTCACCAGATCTTGCCCCAAGCGACTATCTCCTGTTTTTGGCCCTGGATAATCACATGAGGAATCATCAGTTTCAAAGTAGAAGATGGCTCGAAAGGGAGTTAAATAAATTTTTAGGCTCCAAAACTCAAGACACTTATGAAAATGGAATACCATCTTGTTTCACGAGAAGAGAAAGTAATCTTGCTGAAGGAGACTATTTTTCAGAATAAACTTTAGTTAAACCGCTTTTTGTATATTTATTTATCCACTTGGAGAACCGCCAAACTTTTTTGGTTACCTGGTATTGAAGGTGTGTCCGAAAATTATGGGCGCGTATTCGCTGCAATGTATTTGAAGCTTCTAAGCTGAGAATGACAATGGAGACAGTCTAGCTTCCAGAGATTCCAGACAATTGGTTGCAAATCTGCCAATTCCCTTCTGACAAGGCACCATACAGAGCGTTTAAGAGAGTTAAGACCTGGAAAGCTAGATGGTCACCCCCTCTATGCTGTTTCGGGCAGATGGCGTCGTCTTGGAAGAGCTTCGCTCTGTGGGCTGTAACACCGTCCTGCTGGAAGACTTTGCATTGTTTCAGAGAGCGGAGTCGGATCAATGCTCCCGTACATCCATCATTATGCTCTTTGAAGGCACGTCTTTGTTGATTTTCATGCTGGCATCGACGAAAGAGAGGCGTTCTACCATTGCCCGTGACACCCAATGAACATCATTTCACTGCTCTTATAACGATGTTACAATGTGTTTTCGATATTTCTAGTCAGAGCACGATCGTTTTATCAGTTGAGATTGCCTTTGTCGTTCTTCCTCGTCAGAGAAAGCGGTGAAGAAATGCGTGTTCCCCTGAAGTAACATAGCATTTTTGGCCCTACACTGCTGAGATCGGAAATAAAGTGGCGCTTTTGCATGCAATAGGAACTGGCAATGAAGCTCCTTCTTAACAATCCACCGAGTCGACAACTTTGATAAGTTTTACTCCGTTGCGGTCCTTAGCAAGAGTAATTCAAGATCACGGTCGACTCGCAACGGACTACTTTAATAGTTCTATCTTTGGAAACACTGACCTTTCCGCCCCTGCCGGCTTCTTCTTTGGTGTACTGGGCTTCTCTGTATCGTTTAATACCTTTCTGTACCATGATCTTTCACTCGTGCATGCGAACGATTGCAAATAGCCCCGCTAGGTTGTGAGTTATCGTCAAAACTCCGGCCTTGGACTAGAATCCGTCCATCTTGTGTGCGCTCATTTCGCCGTGCTCTTACCCCCTTACACTACCGAAACCCCGCTTACCTTTGCCTTCTTAATGGCTTTAATGTCATAGCCTAACAGCACTCACACGTACAACGTGGTGAGCCGGTCGGCAGTATCAGCATTAAACCGCTAAGCTGAAAGATTTTCTGAATATGACTTCTTTTGACTTGATGTTTGGTAACTGTTGTTTTTTTCCCACAATACGCGATGCGAAAGTCTCACAAGGATGGCGAGTTATGACAAAACTTGCAAGTAGCATTGAATTAGCCTTCATCACGTGGAAAAAATTAAGAACCTTATTTCAGTCACTATGCATATGTTTTGCAAGAAAACCTATTTTATAACAAATCAATAGCGAATGAAGTGAAATTGATAGGTTACTTCTGCCTCAAAAGTTCCTGAATTTTTCGCCCATGATTAAGTTTAACTTTTGAAAAGTTTAAAAACGGACAGCGTTGGGGCGTCAATCCATCCCAGTTAGAGTGATGGCCAGCCGATGTACAAGTCAGTGCCTTTATCCTCTCTGGCACTTACTGACCGACTCCGGAGGGATGGAAGGTATCATTGGCAAAGGCGGATATCGATCCGGGATACGAACCTGTGACCATGGGTGTGTGAAGTGTGCCACTCGCCACTACACCATCTCCGCCTCCATCGTATTATATTAGGTTGGAAGGAAAGTCCTGCAACAAAACGAAGATCTTCTTCAAATCACATCTGAAATTTTCTAGGCCAATCAATTTTCGGAAATATATTTACCAAAGAGGTCAACAACCTTTTATTATCTTTTGAGTAAATCACTGATGCCCTTTATCCAGGAGTGAGGAAGCTGTGACTCAAAGAAGTAATGGACTGCCGTTTTCAGATCACATTAAGTTACGGTTTTTTTTTCACAACGTATGCTCCCCTTCTATTATCTTTTGAGTAAANCACTGCTTGCGTGACTTCGAAGGCTAGTATCTCCTCCAGTGAAGCGATCCAACCGATTGTTGACCGTTGTTCGGTGAGCAGTGGTAGCACTGAAAAGGTTGCTGATAATTTGAGCCGCTACACCCGCGTTTCTCCCTTGACTGCTTAGTAGAAGGTGGTGGTACGAATCGGGTGTTGTCCATTCATTGACCGTAATGCTGCTAAAGCTCACACGCGTGCCCTTATTTACTCATGTGTTGTTTACCTGAGGAATGTTCTACAAGTTTATCACTCTTGCTACGCAAAAACATGTTCAAATAATTACCGCGGAACATATCCACCATCTACGCCAAGCATTGCTTTTCATTTGCTAGGCAGTCGACTTCCTCAGACAAAGAAATTTCTATTCTTGGAGGCATCCGCCTTGACTTCGGCCATCAAGTCATCCACTTCGTCGAAAGTTCTGTTCGTTAGCCAATTTTTCAATCAACGATTGTCGTGTTAATCCATAGGAGTTTCTGTTCGTGAATGGCGCGAACGTAGAAGCAGACTCCATTCCTTGTTCAGCTTTGGCTGACTGATATATCGCAAAGAAGTTTGTTGAGATTACGTTATGACTGTGCCAGCTTCCATCCTTTTTCGGAGTAATAGGGCATAATGTAGGGTATATGAAGATGACTTTCTAGATATATTTTCGTTAAGGAAAGAAAAGAGTATTTTTATCAAACCCCTGGTTAAAAATCCGAATTATATCGAGAGGTTAGAAGCCGCGAAAAATCCGCAATATTTATGCATCAACCTATTATATTTATAGTCATGGAGGAGGAGACGGTGTAGTGGCATATACACATAACTTATATAATTTCGTTGAAAAAAACCCAGACAAGAGTTATTCAAGGAACTCTGCGTGCCACAGTTATTAAGTAACCGAAGCGTCTTCGAGCTGTAATTGACGGTTATACCAAATGACTGTATGCTCGTTTTGTTGATACAAAGCATAGTAATTAGTTTGACGCAAAGCATAGTAAACAGTTTAATACAAAGCATTGTTAACAGTTCACATCATTTACCATGCATCATTTAAATAAATAAATATATCCTTACTACATATAAGGCGCTCGCGTCTGTTTGTTTGTTTGTTTGTTTGTTTGTTTGCACGGAAATCCATAACTCCTGTCCTCGTGGACATAGAATGTTCAAATTTGGTAGGAGCACAGGCGGCAGGATGGGAACACATATGGTGGGTGGCAGAACCGGACTCCGCCCCAAAGGGGGTTTTGTGCGCAATAAATGCTTCAGCGGAAAATCATAACTCTTGTCTCCGTGGACCTAGAGCGCTCAAATCTAGCAGGATTATTGGAGACAGGATGAGAACATTTATGGCTGGTAGCAGAACCGGACCGTGGTAGGTATGGTAGGTGGGAAGACCGGACCCCGCCCAAAGGAGGCGGAGTGTGAGCGAAATAAATGTCCGAGCGAAAATACATAAATCCTGATCCCGTGAACTTGGAGAGCAAAATCAATAGGAGTAGAGGAGGCAGGGTGGGAACACTGACAATAGAAGAGGCCTTAGAAAACAAGATCCAATCACCAATTAGATCCTAGCGCCTTTATTAATTACGATCTAGCTTTGATTCTTTGATATGTTTCACTCGACAAAAAGGTTAAGTGCACTGATAGAGACCGCTTATGAAATTTGATTCACTTCTTGCTCACGACCGCTACCTAACGGAGTATGCGATTCAATGAAGGATCATGGTTTTTCTCTGCTTTGATATAATTAATGGCAAAAAATAACCGATCGCTAACAATCTTGGATTCTCATTTAATGATGTATCTGTAGAGAAAAGGAGCTACATTCATAAAGATATTTGATAATGATATTAGTATGACTCGACGACATTTGTGAGTACCATTCAAAGATTTGAATGCCTCTACATGTTTTGATATGATATTGATACACCAGGCGGCTACGCACGCTCTCGCGCACGCTAGGGGCTCTAACCATGAGAGATGGAGCCGCATGAGCTGATTTTCATTATAGACCTTTATCGGATTCATGAGTTTCCGCTCAAACATCGCCTCCTGTGGGTGGAGTCTGGTCCTGCCACCCACCATGAGTGTTTCCATCCTGTCGCCTGTACTCCCACCAAGTTTGAACTTTCTAAGTCCATTGGGACAGAATTACGAATTTTCACCCGAACCCCGCCCCTTGTGGGCGGAGTCCGGTTTTGTCACCCACCATAGGTGATTCCATCCTGTCGCCTATACTCCTACCAAGTTTGAACTTTCTAGGTCCATGGGGCAGGAGTTATGAGTTTTCGCTCAAATCCCGCCCCTTGGGGGCTGAGTCTGGTTCTGCCACCCACCGTAAGTTTTCCCATCATGCCGCCTGTACCCCTACCAAATTTGAGCTCCCTAGGTCCATGGGAACTGGAGTTATGGATTTTCGTATATAAGTGTAAGAAGGGATGTGAGCTTCGAGGCACGCTCCGCCCATTGTGGGCGGGCCTCCGCTGACGTCATTTACGCTGGAGACACCTTCGACAATGCTTCTCCCAAATCAACTTTTTCCTGCTCTGTTGGCTTTCTCCAAACCGAGTTAGAAATGTTTTCATAAAGCACTTCATTTTTGGAGAACGCCCCGCCCATCGGGGGTGGGTCTACCCAGTTCGATCTAACTTACCGATGCATACCTCAAGCCACCTTTAAACCCCAGTTTTGAAGCCGTCTTATGACTGAATTTGAAATCATGGTCCTCAGTGCAGCTCATTTCGATGCACGCCACGCCCACTGTGGGCGGGGCTCCGCCAAGGTGATGTGTGTTTTATACTTCTCGAGACCTGGCCCACCCATCCCACACTTGACCCGGTCTCTCCAGGCAGATCTAAAGGAGCTAAGGAATTTCGTGACAGACAGACAGACAGACAGACAGACAGACAGACAGACAGNCACCCCACTCACTTCGCGCGCGGCGCATCACACTGAGGTCTCGAGATGGCATTACAGTACCACCAAGTGTCACTGGAGCAAATGATTTGCATTTGTCTGTGTTATCTTCTTCTTGAAGTGACTGCCGTGGACCAAACGCAAAGCGTATGCCCCACTGACAATTGCGACGTCTGTCAAATACCGCGGGCCGACTCGCCGCGTACGACGGCTGCGGCGTGACCTAGTTTCGACGGACACGCGCAACGAAGCGCACCCGTCGTAGGTAAGCGATAGTGGGCATGTGGTGCACGCATTGGCGTGCGTAGCCCAACTGGTATACATATATTTCGAAAAAAATTTCCAGTCCTTTCATGAGTTAGGTGTTACTTTAGTTATGTTCGATAATCTTGCTCCAATCTGAGCGGGATGAAGGGCTCTCGAGCATTTTGTTGCCTACATTCTGCTCGACAAGTAAGCACCTCATCACTGTCGTAAGTTCGCATTGTTACTGCAGCGGTTTCAAAAATTCAGATACTTCAACAAAAGTCAGCAGAAAACGACTCTCTTCCACTATTATGGAACTGGGTATCTGGATTATGATTACCATTAACAATGGGGATGGTCTTTTGTTAACCACCGAAAGTAACCATTTGTGGTTGTTTGTGGGGGTAGCTACTTTGCAGTTGTTATGCTATTAGACGCAAAAATGAATCAAAATAAAAACGGTATAGTGGAATGGTTTTTGTTTTCATTCTGTTTGAGCGAAGATTCCTTCAGTCGAGATTAACCCGTTTCGTGATCTTCAATTTGCAGAAAAGATTATTATCAAATTTTGGGTGTAGAGCGGGATGCAACTCAACGTCAGATAAAGCAAGCCTACTACCAGTTGTCGAAAAAGGTTGGAGATGCAATTTTAAACCGGTTTTCACGAAAAAAAAAAACTATGCTCATAAGTGAGTGGAAACTAGCCCGGCAATTTTTCAGTACCATCCAGATGTCGCTGGGCGTAATGCAGGTACGGAATCGAAGTTCATAGCAATAACGGAAGCGTATGAATGCCTCAAGGATCCTGAAAGAAGAAGGATTTATGATGGTGCGACGGTTGGGCGCGGAGGCCGATACATCTATAATGACGAGTCTTTCAATTTAAAGGTGCCTTGACAATTTATTTCTTACTATGCTATCCGTTTTGATTGGAGATTTCAGCAGGATTTTGGACAAGGTAGAAGAAACCCTTTCTACAGCAAACACTACACACAACAAGAGTACGAGCGGGTGAATTCATTTGAGCTAGAAGAAATTTTATAAGTAATAGTATTAGTAATGAAAGTTGACTTAAACTTTGAATGACTGCCATCTGAACCGCATACTTTTTTTTAGATATGGGAACAATTCAAAAAGATGCAGACTGAAAGGGATTCATATGATGCAAAGATAAAAGAAAAATTATGGGAACAGTTCGCCAGAGATCGCGCAACTCGTTGGCAACGATTTCATTCAAGGTTGGAGCATTTGTTAAACCTAACTCCAGAACGACTTGAGACAGGTTTACGTATCGTATGTCAAATGATTGCTAACATTTAAGAACGCTGGTATAACCGTGTTCATTCTCATGGGGAGACGGGCTGTTGGATTAGCCATGATCAGCGACCTCACTGTACTTTAGCATTTTCATTGGTTCATGACAGCTATTTTTAATCAAAATCATGTAAAAATGTTGCTGGTTACCCTTACGTCGATATATGACCCTTGGTACTTTCATCCACAAATGCTAGGTAAGGTATAGAAGCATTTCTGGGTACAATCAGATAATTAGATTTAACATAAAAAAGCCAAATCATCAAAGTCAAAAAAACAATGGAACAATTTGGATTTGAAGACAGAAAATAATTTCTTCTGTCAATGTCGATCACGACCGATTTAACTGCACCACAATCTTGTTTATGTAATCATGTTCAATACGTTAATGTGTAGTGACTTTATCTGCCAATCGGTTTTAGATATCCCTATGGAGCACCGAAGTCTTTTCACTACGAATGGAAGTGGACCTTATCAAATCCGACTGGAAATCGCAATGTTATCCTGCTCATCCGCCTCGCTACGATTTATGCGATATGTTTTGCAGTGGTTGTGGTGTTTCAGGTGATATCCGAGTAAGTTGCGTTCAGCTGCGTAATACGAACCCTAGCATCTTATGATCTCCCCTCGATGAGCGTTGTATTTCCAAATTATCTTCCGAGCAGAACGCTCCGAAAAAGGTAGGCAGATAGCTTTTAGTGTCCATAGCTAAAAACATCTACTATGGCGCTGCGCTTTCCAGACTAATCATTGCACTCCATAAAGGCTGGAATACAGACTTTCGTACGCCTTTGAGATGTTGTCTTCAACTCTTGTTCCCACGCAGTGGATGTCTTTGGAACATTTATCCGGGTATACCTACACCAAGGGTTCCTCGAGGTTGGCGCATGATGAGCTTTTCCTCTGTTAACCGAGAGGCGTGGATAGAGTAAGGTTGGTGCGCGCATGGGGACTAGTATGGCAGGCTTTTTCACTTCAGTGATACTTGTAAATACTAATGTAGAACGTTCACAGGCGTTAGTTTGTTGGGAGAACCACTTCATTCCCGTTGCTGTCGTACATTAAAGATTAGTTTCAGATCCCTGCTTAATGTGAAGCCATTACCAAGTGGAATTGAAGACATGAAAAGAAAGGTGACGTCTAGCCAGTGCAAACAAAACACAACTTTTGAATACATGAGCCAACAACCTTTCGCCCTTCACAAGGACAACTGGAATAACCTCATCGCCGACTCTTCGTCCGATTCCGAAGCTCCACGTTCATCGATGACTACAAGCAGATGAAGCCAAATAAAGTTAGATTCAACTCATATGGACAGTAGAAATTGAGTAGTTTCTGTGAATTCCGAATGTGAAATTTGCTCACAAGCGAGGAACAAAGATCATTTCATGTTTTTCAATATTATATGGTGAGCGTCGGAATTAGATTGTTGCATAAACACAAGAATTCGCCTTGGAAAAACTTGATGTCTGCATAACAAGTGCGTAACTAGCCGTGTGGTGCATAGTAACATTACCTAGTTACGTAGCTTTAGTACTAAACAAACGTGAGATTATACCAGGTTTGAATCCGCACTAAATAATCAACTTTATACTGATATCCTTACGATATGAAATAAAATCAAATGCGAAATAATGTAAGGCACATGTAGACAGGTCCAGAGTTTAGAAAAGTTTAGAGTGGTTGCCTCGTTAAATCACAAGCAATTGCGTTTTCATCGATAACGTCCAGATCGCTGCACGAACGATCACATTCTACCAAGGAATCAATGTGAATTTTCACTGCACACTGTAATAAAATCTATAATACCTCAGTGAACATCTACAATGAAAAAGCTTAACACATGAGCAATGAAATTAATTTGTGCCTTAATATAATGCACAAACAAAATGCTCAGTAATGCAACACATGAAATAAACACAAAAGTTTTCCAGATAAGAAAATAAGCGAAAAAAAGAAAATAAGTCTTCAAAGAAATCACAGCGATCAAAAAATTAAGTCTTTACGTGATACTGCAGCTTGAATTGGGAATAAAACACTCTCCTTCGCTCTGATCTTCGAGTAATAATGACTATCTCTTCAGAATCTGTATTTGTTATAAGAATTAAAGGACTTGTGCAAAGCGGGTAACGCCCTAGAAAAAGGTTTTTGTGATGTGAATCACAGCTTCTCCATATATGTGTATAGGCGGCAATTGCAATACTTGCTCTTCTACTAGTTCTCTTCTTCGTATCCATAGCCTATGTGAATAGCTTCAGGAAACGTCACATGACACCTAAACAAACTAACAAATAATCCTTTTGATTTCTAATGGAGCTATGCTGGCAGGAAGATATTCTGACAAAAATGATTAACTGTTCAGGATCTCATCCGAATATTTGGTAAATGAAAATGGATTATGGAACATATTTTGATCCGATTAAAACCTCAACGGAACAATATTTTTGTTGGTAACCTCGTGTGGACCACGATTTCCATCAGCTTTCCAAGGAGCCATTCAGATTTTCCTAGCACAAATCGATGTTCGAAACGATTGAAGATTAAAAGAAGGATGAAGGAAGTAGAGTGGAGACGGAATGCCTAATAGCTCAAAAGTGCTTTGTGAACCGCTAGTACCATTATACAGAAATATGCTACCGAAAAAAGAAAATGTGAGAAAAATGTCTTCTTCTAAGGTAACCCTGATGTAACTGTCGATATTCAAGATGTAGGAATGAATCGATGCGCTAGATCACGATACTCCATCATTATGGTCATGAAGCCCTACCTGGGTACAGCCAACTTCAGCTGACGAAGGAACGATTGCCTGTTTGAAACATACGGCAGGAAATAGAAGTGAGCACGTCTGAGTGCTTTGAGTCTGCTTAACCAATAGACTGCTCCATCTGTCAATGCGGGGTTTAGAACAATTTCCTCAAAAGACAAAGTTAGTACACCATTAACTATGACGTAATAAAGCACCATCCATCCAACTCACGATATCACGCAAAGTGGATGCTGGTCTGCTTATAGCCAGCTCCCTAATAGCGTCATCACCAAAATAATCGCAAAAATTCATTTTCAACACTTCAAGGCGTTTGAGATCGTGGAAGTATTTGAAGCCCTCGTCTGCAATTGCTGAGTCGCTAGCATCGACCTAAAAGCTTGACGTCAATCTCTCAAAAAATGAACTTATGATAGAACTCGGCCAAGAGAAGAGTATAGTTGATGCAGACCTTTACTATATGCACCGGGGGAACACAACTCCACTTCAATTCGTACTCCATATCAGCGGATGGCGAGCATATTGCTGGCGCAGCGCCATTCTAAAAAACCGACTGCAACTTCAAGTCTTTTCCTCGCTACTCCACGTACATGTCTTTACATCGAGCATAACCCAGTTCGTATTCACGGGTGTGGTGCAGTAGGAACTAAGTTGTCGCGTCGCGGCGAGAGAATTCGAGTGCGAAGGAATGTAGCATAACACAGCAGCAAGTAAGAAAAACAGGAACAAAAGAACCAACAGAAGAAGCAAGCCCAAAGTAATAATCGCATAGCGCTCGAGCTGTATGAAGAAGGCTAGAGTTGTAATGACGGTGAAGCGAATGGTGCGCGACAGCCACGTGCGGCGGATCGATTACACAAAACCGTTCCTACTGCCCGTCTCCCGTATCCACATTTCATCATCACTTCACCAGAATAAAAAAACTCACAATTGCATGAAAAGCACACACTGCATTTTCAGTACAAATTTGAGAAAGTCCTGTGGGCGTCAAAATAATCGTGTCTCAAAATATAAACAAACGGTGAGTTCCAAATCATCTCCGTCGTTGAACATACTTAGCGAGCACATTAACAATCAAACCTCACAAAACTAACCTCACAAAACCACCCCAACAAATTTTAATTAAATTTTGCATACTGAGTTCGTATTACGTGCTTACATTTCTTTATGTTTCCAATGTTCACTTCTAGTTACATGTATTCTTGCATGTAATAAAATATAGATATTTCATCTTTCACTTACGCTCACATTTTCCTCCATCCTATCTTTGATGTATGATTTCATTTGACGAATCGATGTTATTTGTTCACCGTCACTCATTATTACCTGAATTATGATAAACTCAAAGTCGGAATCAACAGAATAGACAAAAGATAGTGATCCTGATGTTTAGTTCAGTAGGGTGTTTAAAACTATCCATCGAGGTGTGCTCACAGGCAGACAAAGTGGATATGAGGAGGGGCAAACAAGAGAGATATGTACGGTAAAATTTGAAAGGAAAAATATAGAACCCTTGTTTCAAGTTGATGTTTTGTGAACTGCCGTTATTTTGCCGCCGTACACGTTCTGCGCCGAAATAACAACAGTTAGCAAAACATCAAGTCAAATTAAGCTCTATCATTTAAAGCTTACAGCTTAAAGGTTCAGTGCTGACATTGGCCAACCGGCTCAACATGTTGTACGTGTGAGTGCTGAGGGCGGGCGGGTATCGGTAGTGTAAGGGGTAGAGCACTGTGTCCGGAAAGTACAAGTACGTCTTAGAGTCCCACTCGAGACAGAAGTTTTGTCCATAAATCGCCAACCTTCTGCGATAGAACACCGTTATTTTTCGACTAACTAATGACCAAACCTGCGTTGATCCGCACTCCATCAACCATTCTAAACAAGCAAGGTCCGGTCCTAACTCGCGTACTCTTTGTTCGTGGAACCTACTCAATGACATCGCATTATTGTTGGCAACTATAGTACAAAAATACTGAATAACTTGTTCGATAAGTATTCCGCTACACGTCGTCTCAAACTGTATATTTTGAAATTGGCAAAGCTATATTTCGTACGTGCTTGGGCATAAAGCAACGAGTTGACCTGAAAATTGAAGTACGTCTGACGAATTTCTTAAACACTGCAGCATCACCGAAAAGAAATTATAACATGCGGTGCTGAAAGGACACTAAATACTCACCCCACAGAAGACATTATTCCCGCATAGGAGAATTGTCCTGCCTACATTAAGGGCAATTAATGCCATGGACAGGGAAATTCACTGCTAATTAACGTCCCTTTGAACAACTACGTCAACTAACCTGAAAGTTAGGAAACAGAGGAAAATAACGACTTGGTCACCAGCACAGAGTAATGTTTAGAAAATACTGGTTAGTAACTGAACAGTGGACAGATCAAATGTTCATGAAAACCTCCAATAAATTTATTGACAAGATAACAACAGAAACAATAACAAATGGATTAATGGGGCTGATATCCGCTGCCAATCAATCATTAACTTCAAACTCAACAACGCTCGATCGAAATAAGGGACTATTTTACCTCTGTCAATATTCGAGATGAACCAAGTCAATCACTCAGCTTGCTCCTTTTACTTGAACCGTAGTCACTATCACTTTCGCTAATACTTCTCGTCAAGGAAGGGTCAGGGTTCGTTACAGTTAACAAGTCCCATGACAATGTAATTTGTACACAAAACATCTCTTTGCGTGAAGAAACCGTGCGTACCTGTAGAAAATTTTCGTTCTTGTCGTTTGAATCATGCTTCGAATAAAAGTGATCGCTTACGTGATGAACTAACTCAACGGTGGCTTCGTCTTCCTTCAAGAATTCCCGGACCATTTCGAGAGCCCGCTTCTCATACCATGCATCACATACGTCCTTATGCGCCTAGAAATAGAAACCGTCAACCATGGCTTCGAAAAGCTCTGAATGCAGAATCAAAAACCATTTCACACAATGCTGTCACTTCCCCGCCAGAGTTGAAGTTACTTCCCATTCAAACGGGTACTCAAGATAAGTAAATGTGCAAACATATTGTCGAAATGCTGTCCAGCTAAGATGATATTGAAAGCTGCAAAAGAAAAGACAAAGCCTTGATTTAATGTTGATCTTTGGATATAGATTTAATTCCAGAAGAAGGAAGCATTTTAGCTCTGACGGAGTCGTTTCAGAGTTTCGCATAATCTTTTAATTGTCTCTAGATAGTGTGTGTGGTGGGTGTGTATGTGGGAACATATGTGCGTGTATGTGTATGTATGTATGTGGTGTGTATGCGTATGTGTACGTGTATGTGTACATGTGTGTGTTGAAGGTAAATGAGAAGGTGTAATTCGTTGAAAGTAAATGAAAAGGTGTAATTCTTCTCCTACAAAGAGTGGAACAATGGCGCAGGAAATAAAAAGAGCGGACCACTTTTCTAGTAGTCATTATGCGCGGTACTTTTATAACTTGATCTAACAGTGCTCATCGAGTGAAATGCATTTCATAATAGAACGAGTTTACCTTTGCAAATAAGTAACAATAAACTATCACTGGGAAAGTGTGAGAAGCTTCAGCCGGAAGATGCTTGGCCAGCACTCCCTTGAACGAGGGAAGAAAACTGACAGCAAAGCCAGGAAGGTTCAGCACTACATGCGCTCCCGACGGTGACTCCTCCGATGATTGTGCTTTCCTGATTTCCTACAAAAGCAGAGTGAACAAATAAATTTCTCACATTAATGCATAATGTATTCATAAGTGGAATGTAAATGGCAAGGTCCCATTTCCCGAAATTGGGAGTCTGAGACAAGATCAACAGAGCGCATATGGCATCTTTCATAGTCCACCAGTCGCCCGACTCGTCGCGCACCGGTTGCCAGTCGCTAGCGACCGATCGCGCGACTGGTCGTGGACTATGAAAGCAGCCTAAGAGTTCAGCGGAACCCCGTCCAAGGGGCGGAGCAAGTGCTGGAATGGGCGTGCCAAGAGCCGAACATCTTATTTCGGCTTTGGAAAAACTGACACTGGGAAGAAGTGGACAAAGGTCCCTACTATATATAAACCACAAGTCATGTTATTTTATGTTTATCACATGACCACGCATGCAAGTTAAATTAATACAATTGGAAAAAACAATACAACACATAAGCTAATACAATTGGAAAAACGAAAAACACAACACACGGGAGTACGTAACTATTCTTCAAAAGCAGCTAATTGAATTGTAGAAGATCACTCAACTTTTGGTATAGCGAACCGGCTCTATTAACAAAAAAATTAGCTCTGACTGAAGTTTTGGGTAAAGACAGCACTAGTTTGAAGAGAGGTATTCTTGTACTCGACGCCGAGGATTTACCTATTTTAACCCCCTCTTTCAGGATTTTACGAACCATCGTTAAATCATTCCTCTTACTCCTTGCCTCCAAGCTAGAAAGTTTGAACAATTTATTCCTAGTCTCGCTATGTGAACCAATCGATAATCTATGCAGGCTATCCGCATCATGAGTTTTCTAGTGAAACTGTTCTGCACACCTTCTAGGGCACCTATAATCCCCTACTTCGTGGAACAAAAGACAGTAGTGTCATAATCCACAATTGGCCTAACAAACGTTTTAAAGGCATTAAGCACAACTTTGGGGTTTTTGTGCATAAACTCCTAAAAAGTGTGAGCAACTGCGCTGTAGCCTTGTTCCTGATTGCCCTACAATGTTGGGTGAAGTCAAGTTTTTCATCATTAAGAAAGCCTAAACCCCTAACTTCGGAGACAGCAGCTAACTCCTTTCCCTGAAGATAGTAAGGGATGCGTGGATCGTTGGGACCGATACGATGAACTTTCGTTTTACTAATAGATATCGGCAAGCTCCAATCAGCCGACCATTGACTTAGTGGGTTGATTGCATCCTGCATGTTGGACTTTTCACGAGATAAACTACTGCTATTGTATAATTTTAAATCATTTGCAAACATCTTACAAACTACCCCTAGCGGCTGCAAAACCGCCGGAATATCACTAGTGTAAATATTGAACAAAATTGGAGATAAGACACTGCCTCGAGGTAGATCACTGGAGACAGGCCTCGACGAAGTGTGGTTACCATTGATCACTACTTGAAAAGATCTTCTGTGCTCGAATCAAGCACATCTTTTTGATCTACAGTCGACGCGCACCCTGACTCCGTCCCTTAATCTTGTTTTTCCCATGGCCTAAAAACCCATGCCCATCAGAACCCCCTCGTCTTGCCCCAAAACCCCACGCCTTCTGGAGCCCCCTCTCGCGCCAAGTGCTAAGTCCGCCAAGGCGCCACTTCGACACGCTGACCCACAACTCATGAAATTCACGCCGACCCACAGGTTCAGGATTTCCTTGATGTTATGCACGTTGTTGCACATTGTTATCCATGTAACATGTTTGATGAGATTTCACTCCATTAAGGTCACTTATTTTCACATGCTCATCGTTTGAAGTTATAATTGCTGCCTGGCAATTGTGGCACCTCCCTGAAATTCATTCCTATCGGACCGTGTCCACGCAGACGAAGAAATGAATTCGAGCTCATCTACTTGTCTCTACCAAAGGCCATAGCAATCTCATTTTTATCTTGCTCACTTTGCCCAAATAAGGTTATTGACAGACCTCCATTTGAGAAGAAGATACTCATTCTCGCCTCGTATTATGAACTATGATTGTTTCTTGTTTCGTGTAACCACGATGTTGCGATGTTGATAAAAGTTTAATTACCTAAGTTTG